CCTCTTCCCCACCCTCCTCCCCCCCACCTTCCCCAAAAATTCACTTCCCCCCTCCAACTGGAATAATGTGCGTGTTACAAAAACACCGAAAGACCTTTCCAAAAAGCAACTGTGTGGTCTGCCCGTCTTCAGCTTGTTTGTATTGCCTGGGAAAGCAATGCCAAAATGCTGTATTACTGCTGTGCTCCGGCTGTAACCACAGAGTGAAATAATTGCTCTCTTTGCAAATGGCTTATTTGCAAAGACAAGACTGGGAGTGAGGGACGATGTGGGGAGGGGGTGACTGCAAAGCACTTCGGATGCAATTATTAGTTCACTTTAGGAGGGAAAAAGAGAGAAAGGGAGGCAACCCTGTTATGTCCAAAATGCCTCGTACAGTAAATCTAACAATTCCAGTCATCTCGAGCAGAGTTCAGAGCATTTCGTAATGTCTGTAAGCAACCACATCTCACTGGGCTGGGTGCAGAGGGGTCCAGTTGGTGGCCGATTGGTTTGGTTTGGGGCTGGGATTTTTCCCCTGTTTGTTTGCTGTTGGGGGTGGGTTTTTGTTTGGGGCTTTTTTTTTTTAAGGTTTATGGTAAAGGCTAAAAATAAACAAGTCTCTGAATGGAAAAATCAGCCTAAGTCTGATGTGGTGAAACTGAACAGCAACTCAGTGACATGTCTGATGGCAGAAGAGACATCACCGCAGCGAACTTCTGGAATCAGACGTTCCTAAGGGAGGGGGAAAGAAAAGAGGGGCCAGTGATTCACTTTTGAATATGTGTTGCTCAGTACTGCTATTGGCGTACGTGTGGGCTGGGGAGGTGGTCTTCAGCCTGTGCTGGAGGGATAGGGGCAACCGATGTAAATGCGTGGTTTATGTTACACACGTAGCGAGAAGGAGAGAGCGAGAGGACAAGAGTGCACATTGCAGCCCATTGTAAAAGCCCTGTTTATGAATCAGCTCCCAGCTGGAGGGTGGGCTGCTGGGGGTTTATGGACATCCAGGAATAATGTCTGTGTCTGCCGGTGTCCACCAGCGCTGGGTGTGCCTGGAGCTCCCCGATGGGAGAGAACGGGGAGCGGGTACCGCAGAACTGATTTTCAAAGACCGGCACTGGGAGATGGAAGGCAGGGGGGAGGGGGGGAATAAACTATGTATGTCCTGATGTGTCTCACCAAAGCAAGCTAAAGCTGCTGTTTGGAAATGGTTGTGTCCGGGAAGAAGCGCGAATTTCCCCCCCGTTCTTGGTGCAAACGGTTGAGTGATGGCTGGACATGTTTTGAATAGCTAAGTGACTTCATTGAGCGATGGTCTATTTGACGCATACTGCATTTAGTGCCCTTTGTCAACCCAAACTGCTGCCTTTTAACATATCCTGCAGAGGAGCTCTATGCTGAATACTATATGCTGTCTCCATGCCAGAAAATCAATAGCAGTAAATTAATGGGGGATGTTTTAAACACACTCGCTCACACTCATGCACGCATTTCCTCCAAATAGATAAATATATAAATATATAGAGGTATATGTTAATAAAAAATGAAAAGCCTTTCACACAGCTATTCCTTACAACCGGGGAAGGAGACATCTCCTTAATTAAAAATTAATGAGAGAGGGGGAAAACCAAAAAAAAAGGAAGCCCAAAGCCATGCGGGGAAGGGAGGCTGCGGGGAAGGGAGAGCTCCCTTCCTGAGCCGTGTCCCCAAGCTGGAGGGCGGAGGGAGGCTGGGGTGGAGACAGGAGGTATGAGGACCCCGGCCGGGAGAGGCAGCGCATTCAGATCATGTCTATCTGCCCACAGAGCTGTACCCAGAGGGACGCGGTCTGAGGGGGAGGAGGAAGGGGCGGGTGAGGTTTGTCAGATTGGAGGAGCTCAGGGCTCCTTCTCCTTTACATCTGACAGGACCCCACAGGCACTGTGGAGAAGTGGCTTGCATGACAAAGGAAAGCGCCAGGATGCTTCCCATTAAAAGCTCCGAAGTCCCCCCAGCCCCCCCAGTGCTGCGCTGCCAGCCAGTTCCCGTGTCCTCCCTGTTGATGCTCTCCAGAGGGCTCAAACGGCAGCCCTGCACGAGGGGTGTGAAATGCAGCCTGAGCACAAGCTGCATGACCCTGGCAGGGTGCTCTTGCTTGCCCCAGCCGTGTGAGGGTTGGGCTGGCCTGTTCCCCCAGCCCCTGGACGCTGGGCAGAAGTGGTGAGCGGGGTAGGAGGGTGCAATGCACCACGCAGGAGCTGAGCCCAGCTCTGAGTCCCTAGCCTGAGGGCACAGGTTGCGCCAAAACTTGGATAAAGGCTCGGTAGCAAGAGCATCTCAGCAGGAGGCAAAACCAGCCCTGCAGCCACATGCCGAGCAGGGCCTCGGCGTGGGTTTGCCTCATGGGGCGGCACGGCACACATCTGATACCACCGCTGCCGGGATGCCCCCGCTTGGCTTCCCGCATCCCCACAACCTGCACGGGCTGGTGGCTGGCACTCTTTTGCTCCCAGAAGAGCACAGCCAAGTATCTTCACCAGCCCCTGGACAGCAGGCCTCTTACTGTCACATCTGATCACCTTAGGGGGGGTTATCTTCTTTCTCGGCAGAAGGAATCAGAAAGGTGTCCCTGGTTGACTCACTCTCCCTGGTGAAAGCTGCCTGCTGGTGAGCAGGAGGGAGAAGGGTGCAGCAAAGGCTCTTTTCCCCCATGATGCAGAGGGTGGGCAGACTTGTGGAGGGAAGGGCTTGGTCCCAGGAGGCCGTAAAAAGGGCAAAACCCGTGGACTCTGCTCACACCCTGCCCACGGTGTGGCAAAGGCACCTGTCAAAGGGTGTGGGACAGACATGCTTCTGCTGCCTGGGGTGGGTGTCAGGGCAGGTCTATAGGGTGAGGGGAGGTAGTGAAGAGCAGGGCAGGAGGCTTCGTGACAAGAAAGTAATCAAAGAAGGAGCCCAAACTGCCTTCTGCTACTGGTAGGAAGCCTCTGATGAGGTTGCCTTCATTTCTGGGGATCTGGAGGAACACTGGCATTAGTCAACACTGTAGGCTGTCAGAGATGGTGGACTCCTCCTGTTCAAAATATTGTGCTAAACTGTCTTTTCTCTTCTTGGCCAAGATATCCAGTAGCAAAAATGGATGTGGGGACTCAGTCTCGGGCTGTACACACAGATACACTACGGTCAGAATTGCAAGTTCCTCTTGGAGAATTTGGTCCCTGGGCTTTCAATTTTCAGGTTCCCCTCTCTTCAGTCATTCTGTTCCCCACAGTGGACTTTCAGTTAGCATTTTCAGATCTTTGTATTGCTCCAAAGAGGAGTGTCATTTGGGATGTTCCTCCTCTATCAGGATTTCTTTCCCCACTTTCTTGTGTCCTACAGTGAGCCCCTGCTCCATGGTGGGGCTAGAGCAGAAAGGTGGTGTCGGTTCACATTACTGCAGATCGCATTTCTGGTTTTTTTCCTAATCTTCCTTGAGATAATTTTTTCTCAGTCTTTGATGTTGCCCAAATATGTCCCCAGGCCATTCAAAAATCTTTGCCCTTCAAGAAAAATGGCCTTTAACTGTGTAGGCATAAACACACATGTACACCAAGCAATTGAGATCTGCAAGCTCATGCCACACATGGATACTGCACCTCTTACAACTTTGAAATGGTTGCAGATCTTCCAGCCTAATTCCTTCTTGGCACCAAATGCTTTAAAACCACTTTTTATTATGAATGATGCCTTGTCTAAGTCTTTCATTAGCTCCTGTAAATCTCCTACAGGATCTCAAAAAGTGAGCGACGATGCCTTATCAGGGTCTTATGAAGCAAGCAAATGAAATGTATTTTATATCTGTAGGTTATTGGTTTTGTCATGTTGTCATTATTATTAGGAAAGGTATAGGTCTGCGAGGCTTTTATACCGAGAAGGAGGGAGAGAAGAGTCCAGGGCAGGCAGGCATGAGTGATGTGCATGGGGTTAGACATCCCTGTAGATCTCACTGGTGTGAAGGCAAGTAATTGAATGGATGTTGGTGCAGAATATAATTCCTGCCTAGAGACCCTTCCCAAGGAAAATTAATGAGCTGATCTGTTCCCTTTCCAGTTTGTTATATCTGAACAGCGCATGAGAGTTAAGTGCAATTTCAGTGTTTGCAAAAATGAAGAGCTGACAGCAAAGTGAGGCAGGGCACAGGCAGTGGACAAGCTTCTGCCAGCCAATTCTGGCGTTGCGTCGCTTCCTCGCGCTGCCTTCTCCCACTGCTGTTTGCTCCTGGGCCACCTCTTTCCTTTCACACCCATCTTATGAATGGTTTTTTCCTTATCTTCCTTCTTACCTTTCCCGATTTCCTTTCTTTTACCCTTCGTTTCTGTCAGCATCCCTAGTCTTGCACTGCAGAATTGCCTGCCGTCCTACTTCCAAGGATCCACAAATCTGCCGGGGTCCTTTCCCTTGACTCTTGCTGTCCTAATCCAGGGGCTTTTCTGAACACACAGTGAAAATAGCAGTAGATTAAGTCAGGGTCTCCATGTCTTCGTGGTTCAGGTCCAGGAGCAGCCTAGCA